GGGGGGGGGGGGGGGCAGGAGTTGGACGGCCGTGTCCTGCTTGTCAAGTACAAGGATAAGACTCAATACCGCCAAGCATTATTGCTGTCGCATCGTCTGTTCCTCCCATGCCAGCATCATTGCTGCTTTGTGTGCGTACTATTTCTAGCTTTTAACCGCGCTTTCCGGGTGACCAATGAAAATACGTCAATCTCGGTGCGGCTAAAATGGGGAAACGCCTCCTACAGCAGTGTACACTGCCCTATGCCAGCATCATCGACCGTGTGTGTGTGCGTCATTACCCCTCTGTCCCTGGGCGTCAAACATATACACACCCGCGAGAAAAACACGAGTACACAATCTAAGATACAAACACACAACGCACGCACAACGCACCCACGAAAAACCAAAACCACCAGGAAGAAGACACAAAACCAACCGCACCTGGAAGTTCTCGGGGCACGCCACGTCGAACTTGCTCTGGTCCATCTCGAACATGGTGTTGAGGATCACGGCGGGCCCCGCGAAACCGATGCGGGCCGACCCGACGGCAACCCGGACGTCCGCCTGCATGGCGTAAGACGCCGAAACGCCTCCGTAGGTGGGGTCCGACAGAACGGACACGAAGGGTACCCCTTCCCGCCGGAGAGCGTCCACCGCGACCGAGACCTGTGTGTGTGTGTGTGGCATGCATGCAATAGGTGTAAAAACAAACGTGTTTCGTCGTTGCCACATGTGACATGCATGCCATTACCTTATAGGTGCTGCGGAAAATCGTGTTTCGTTGTTGCCACATACCACGTGCATGCCAATACAAAGGTGTTGTAGAAAAACCGTGTTTCGTCGTTGCCACATGTGACATGCATGCCATTACCATAGGTGCTGCCGAAAACCGCGTTTCGTTGTTGCCACGTACCACATGCATGCCAATACAGTTGGGTGTAGAAAACCGTGTTTCGTCGATGCCACAAACATGCATGCATGCCAACAACATGCGTATGTTAACCGTGTTTCGTCGTGTTGCCCCTTCATCGATGGTAGTTGATAATAGGCCGAAAACAACACCTACACCAACCCTCAACTCCAGCGGTTGGAAGCGGCGCAATGAGGCTTTCAGAACAACCTCCTCAAAATGATCACCAAAATATCCAAGGCTAAGCAAGGCCGATTGTAGAATAGAAGCACACCAACACAACTCCATGCTCAACTTGCAAAGGCGAAGAGTGAGCCAAATCACCAAAAAAGGAGTCGGGGGTGCTGCCTAGCTTGATAGGGGGCAGAACGTATTGCGGGTGTGAAAGAACAGGCAGCGTCTCTACTGCGAGTGGCGAAGAGGACTTGGATTCACGAATGTTTCTCACGGAACAATCTTCTCGGCAGTGATCCCAAAGACCATTTTTGTGTCGACAACAAAGGACACGGTAAATTTTCCCGTGGAAGGTAACGACACGTGCGGGATTGTATGGCAGCCGCAACAACAAGCGGGCAGTTGTGCATGCAGGAAGAGGCGTCAAAGCCAGGAGGAGCGTATTGTGGAGCCGAGAAGACTCCCCGATCTCTTTTCTTTTCTTGCACACAAGCAAGTTGTACGTGTCGTCTAACCGTTGTCTACTTTTGTAGCAAATCGAGCAGCAACCACGACCGGTCGTGCAAAAACGCCGTGCGGGTTTCTCTCATTCCATCACCCGGCGGGTGCGACCCAACACGCAAGGCGTGGCCAGGACAGCAGTAAATACTGGTGGCGTAGACGAAATGCACGGAATCCTCGGAGCCCCTGCCGACCGTATGTGACACAAGATGTCACACCTCCTGGACCTATTCTCAAAGATCGACTACTCTACAGCAGTGCTGGTGCCGGGAGTGGCGGCGTTGGAACCATCTCGTCGAGAGCTTTCCGAAAACACACAATTTGATGATGGTATGCTCTTCTTCGTGGAGTGGTCGAGCTTTCAAAATCGGTCCAGGGGGTGTGGTATCTTACGTCACCAATATGTACGGTAGTCGTCCGAACGTTCCGCTCTATTTCCGACGGTCACAGGACACCCTTTTCGTTGGCCACAATGGCAAGGGCACAAATATTGCTCTCGTCACGATTTGTAGGAGGATATATCTCCGCACCGAAAACCACATCATACATGCATGCAATCACGCAACGACAAAAGAAGGGCAATGGCTGGGCCGGCTGGCCAGCGGCCCCGACCGCCGCCTGGGTGCACGCACCTTCGCCATCTGCATGAGCGACATGGTTCCCTCCTGCATCCGTGCCCCGCCCGATCGGCACTGCACCACGACCGGGAGCCTGTGCTCGAGGCCGTACTCGAAGGCTCGCGTGATCTTCTCGCCCTCGGCTTGGCCGAGAGACCCGCCTGTACGCGGGGCATGGCGGATGAATCGCGTCCCAGCATAGCAACGGCAGCGGTGTGCGTGTTTGTGTGTGTGTGTACACAGCAGCAGCAAGATGGAGCGGCAGTAGGAACAACTCGAGCACGCGGGCAGAGGCAGGGAACAAAACATGCACGTCACGCAATCACAGGAGAGTAGCAGGCACCCGTGCTTCTTCATCACCGTCCAGTTGACACCGCCTTAAATCGCACTAACTGCTGCAGTGCGGGGGTCTCGGCTTTGGGAGAGAGAGAAGGCAGCAGCGCACCTAGGAAGCCGAAGTCGTGTTGCACGTACACGACCTCAGTGGTGTTCCCTTCCTTGCCGATGGATTTCCTCTCGACCTTGACCCCGCACACCACCTTCGTCTTGGCGATCGCGTCCGTGAGCTGGTCTGCATAGGAACGCCCCCCGAAGCTGAAGCCCAGCACATCTCGAGAGGCAACCTCTTCGAACAGGGGCGTCGAGGTCGTCATGGTCTATCCTGTGCGCCTGCTCTGCTGCTGCGTGGTGTGGGGAGAGAGAGAGAGCGCGCGAAGAGAGCAGGTGTGATCGATGCGTGATGAGCAGAGGCGCCGCTGCTGGGGATGTGCGGCGGAATAGCGAAATCTCCGATACGGGGAGACCCGGAAGGCGTGACGACCGACCGGGGCTGGACATCATGTAGTCTGAATGTATGCGTGTTTTGCAAGTGTTTTGCGCGATCCGCGGGGATCCTTGGATGATGGAGGCATTGTTTCTATCATTTGTTTGTCTGCTGGGGCCAACTTGCGCGTGTTTGCTTCGTGCGCCTAACCGTACCTTGAAGGGTGGAGATTGACGGGCGCGTTTGTTTGTTTCTGAACGATACATTGAGCGTCATCACACAACTAGCTATGATACGTTTACTCTGCTGTAGCGTATGATACAGCAGTCACTCACGTACGAGCGTGTACAACTACAGACCATTGGCCGTTCATGCATACGTTCAGTACCAAAATCTACATACTCAAGTCTGCGCGATGAAGAAATCAGATAAGGACCACGGGATCGCCGCTTCAAGCTTTTTTACTTCAGTAGATATTCTCCTCCTGACGTGGGGGGTATGCGCGGTGCTCTACAAACGTACGTACACCGGCACGATACGAGTACATCGCCCGCCCAGTTCACGACTTTTGTCACATACAAAAGCTCCAAGCAGCAAGTGTGGAGACCACCTTCTTCATAACGGTACAATCTCCCCAACGTCTGTCGAGGACGATTCCCTCTTTTCACAATGGCGTCGACAGAGATGTGAGTGTCTGCTTTTAGTTGCAAAAGACACGGACGGCTTCAAAACCAGCTGCTCACCAATTTTTCTTCCGGACAAACTGAGGACACTGGCTATTGTCGGAGACAGATGCCGGTGCCGTGGCAGTATCATCCCACTGCCAGGGGAAGGCTATTTCCTCTCGTGATGTGTAAACGAGGAGAAGAGGGTAGAAAGAGAGAGTGGCCATAGCGGCAGAGGGAGAGGAGAGTCGAAGACTCTCCGCTTCCACTTTCGGCAAGTGGCCAGGGACTTCGGAAGATATCCATCTCCGACGGTGCATTTCCTGTCACTCTCCTTGTGACAAGATACCCCGAGGGAGCCATATCTTCCTACACTTTGTATGTGCACACATGGTTGGTTATACTCCTGACAGGTGTCCTCCACATCACCCCCCCCTCTATGCGCCACAAGTCCATCTGTGCTAAAGATGTGCTTTTGGCGGCCATAGACATGAGTGGCTCATGGAGACACATGTATTGGAGTTAACCTACCTGGTACAACATCATCAACTCGGCCTGATTATCATACAACGCGTGTTAAAAAACACGGAGTCTTCAGACAGAGTAGTGATAGATGTGGTCCATACTAGTATAGTCTAGAAAAAAAAATTGTGGGTACTGGGCTATCAAGATGACAGCTAGTGTACTAAAATATTTCGCATGATAATGCTGTGGGGTTGATGAGAGATAGGCTCGTAATGAGGTGACCCTCCGGCGAGTCTGTCTTTTCATCATAAAATAATATCGTGATGAGGAATAAACTTGTAATGAGGTGACCCTCTAGCAAGTTTTCTCTATTCATCATCGAAAAATAAGATCTTGATGGAGGATGAACTTGTAATGAGGTGACCCTCTGGCAAGTTTATCTGTTCACCAAAACATAAGATATTGATGGAGGATGAACTTGTAATGAGGTGACCCTCTGGCAAGTTTATCTATTCATCAAAAACAAGATCTTGATGGGATGAACTTGTAATGAGGTGACCCTCTGGCAAGTTTATCTATTCATCACAAATAAGATCTTGGTGGGATGAACTTGTAATGAGGTGACCCTCTGGCAAGTTTATCTATTCATCACAAATAAGGTATTGATGGGGGATGAACTTGTAATGAGGTGACCCTCTGGCAAGTTTATCTATTCATCAAAAAAATAAGAAAACGGTGGGTGGGCCAAAGAAGGACGCGTTGTGGCTATCGAACTCGGAGCTTCTGATGACGTGGCGGGCGTAGCTAACCCGTGTAATCACGCACAGAGGATTGTGAAGAAAAGTAAATCGCCCCGCCGCAGCCGGTCGGGTTCCGGTTACCCCTAGAAGACTTCTCTTGCCTATAGCAAACAAGAAGAGGTCTTGAAAAAGGTGGGGGTAATGTGGAGACCACCTTCTTCATAGAGGTACAATCTCCCCAACGTCCAACGTCTGTCGAGGACGATTCCCTCGTTTCACACACGCTCCGACAAAAAAACTAGCTCCCACAAACCACCACGGGCAGACGGATAAATTTTACACCCACCACATCTACCGTACTCTGCTGTAGTGAAGCATGACTTCTAGCCATGGGTTAGCGAGAGGGGTGTCGCCGCGGTGTCTGTATCTACAGCAGTAGTCTACTGGTTATCTTCCTGTGGTTCCTGCTGCTGCTGCAACAGTAAGGTGTTGTAGCGGCAGGAAGATGGCACGACCGGGTACTTCGGGAGAAGGGGCACCACCAGCGGGGGTGGTGCTTTCTGCAGCCGCTCGCGGTGCTGCTGCTTCTTGCTGTGACGATGGACATGCCTAGACCGATTCAGGGCGGCGGCACTCCTGCCACGTGACGAAGGGCTGCTCGTGCTCGCGCCGCCGCCCCTCCGTCTCTCGGACCGAGAGGATGACGATCTGACTCCTTTCTTTCCGCCGCCGCTGTCGTCTCCATCGCCTCTGTTCCCTCCCCCCCTGCCCCTCCCTCTCCCCGACGATGATGATCCATTTCCTCTCTTGCTTCGGCCCGTGCTTTGCTGCCCGCTCCTCGCTTCCCGAGACGCGGACCGGCAGCGGCCGGGGTTCGGGGATGGCGGCTTCCGCCGCGCCGCCGCCTTCGCCCTATCACGCGTAGCGCCGCTCTTGCAGCTCACACTGCTTGCGCCGGCCCTACTGCTGCTACGGCCGCTGCCGCTCCGGCTACCGCTGCTGCCGCTCCCGATGCGCCTCGTCGGTACTACTGTAATACCGCCGCCGCCGCCGCCGCCGCCGCCGCCGCCGCCAATTTGGCTTGACGTCCTGTGGACGGATTCCCCAGATCGACTCTTGCTGGTGGAGACTTTCCGGCCTACAGGACGCCGCGGCTGCAGGGGTGGTGGTGGTCGAGAGCTCGACAGCTTCCTACTGGTGTCGGTCTCGCTCGACGAGGCGGTAGCGCCGCCGCCGCTTTTCCCAGCCCCGGCGAGATCCGCCGTGATAGTAGCCGCCGGCGCCTTGTCTAGGTTTGAGTATTGCCTCGACAGCGGAGGAGAAACACCACGACCGCCACCAAACACACTTCCAGTGCTCCCCCTCCTCTTTCCTCGAAGCCCCGGTTCCTGGGGCGGGGTTGGCAACGGCGGTGTGGCAGGAAAAGATCCCACCCGCCGTAGGAGCAGCGATTGCTCTCGGTACGACGGCTGGTTGCGGAGCTCATTGATGAGATGTTTCCTCGCCTTGGGGGTAGAAGGAAGGTCGTTTCGAAACGACAGGGGGCGCGGGGCGGAGAGGTTGGCGGCGGCAGCGGGGGGGCACAGGGAGGGCAACGGGGAGAGCACGATGAGAAGCCGAGGGGTGATCGGCGGGGAGCGGCTGGTGCGAGGCGACATCGACGGCTAAAGACAGCGTCATCCGCTATGTGATCTATCGCTACAGCACTACTCAACAGGTTCTGTAGATCTATTCTGCTTCTAAGAATGAAAATTCGCGCATGCCCGTCAACTAGCCTAGGTCCCGCCGAAAACAACTGGCGGTGTGGACATCACGCACAGAGGCTTTGTTGAGGCAAGTTTTGTCGCCACCTACCAGCTCGATGATCTCGGGGGGGCGTTCATTCGTTCGTCCTATACTCACCCTCTCAAGCGATCTGAACTTGGACTGTGGCAGCCTCGACCAGACAGAGGCGCCCTCGGCATCCAGCAAGGCCTTCAGGAACCCCGCGCCGACATCCCGCCAGATTTGCGGGTGGTACCGCGGCGGCGTCGTGCTCTTCCTCTCGGGACTCGCGAACCGCTCTCCTCGCCTCCCTCCGCTCGCCGGCGGAATGTGGTTGCACATAGCCTGAACAGGTCGGACAGCAACAGCAGAATCGTGGGTGCCGTCGCTCCCATCTATCTCTCTCCCGGGACAGCGACCGTTCATCTCACTGGTACAAGTTTCTTACCGTACCAACCCGTATCCACGAAGTGTATCATCATCCTTACTTTGCCCTCGCGCACACTTTCTGAGGGTGGGTGGGTGGGTGGGTTGGTGGGTGGGTGGGTGGCGGTGTGGACGCGCTTGTTTCTGGCAGCCGAACACGCACACAACCGTGCGCTCAGACGGGGCACGGCAGCTCGAGCGCGACAGCGATGAAGCCGATATCCGTCGGAGAGATCGGTCCGTTTCCACTCTCGCTCTCTCTTTACATATCTCGCTCACCTTGCCCGTGTTGTAGTTGCACTCCAGCGTGTATGACCGCAGGACTCCCGCGTGCTTGCCGTAGAAGACCCGCCCGGTCCCTTCCGCGCTCAGGCCGGCGTCTCCGCTGTCCACGCGGCACATGTGCTTCAGCGTGAAGTTGCACGACCCGAAGTCGAAGTGCGGCGTGTTCAACGTCATGAGGAGCGGCAGCAGCTGATTCTCCGCCTGAAGGTGTCGATGAGCATGCGTTCGCGGATAGGGAAGGCAAGGGGAGGCGGGGGCGTGATACGGAGCCCCGCATGGCCAGGAGCTTGACGTTGGTACCGAAGACGTTGTTCGTTTACATGGGCGGCATCTGGCTTTCACGTCAGACCGACAACGACGAAGACAGGAACACTCCCGCAACTCCAACGAATTACCTTCGCAGCTTTCGATGTTTGAAAGAATCCCCCATTCACCCCTCGAAATCCACCCGGCACCACTTCTTTCGGCGAACACTTCACCTCCCCCCCCAAAAAACAGAAAGGCCTCTTCGCTATCTATCTACGCCGCCGACCGCTTCGCCGCCTTGCCGTCCTCGCGCGCCCTACCAACTACTTGCTCACCTGGTCTTCAAGGCTCGGAAGATGGTTGCCGTAGATGAAGCACCCCCTGGCCGACGCGTGCGCATGGAGATCGAGGTATAGCGTGAGCCGCCCCCTGAGGCCACAGGCAAGGTCGGCCACCCAGTCAGGAGGCCACCCATCAAGAGAGCAGGGAGAGCGCGCGCGGGGGGAGGTATAATGGTGAAAAGAGAAGGTGACCCTCGCGCGCTCGAAAGGCGAGGTTGGTTGGCGTGACCCGCTGCTTGAACACCACCACCCCATCCGGGGGTGGCGACGAGGGGAGTGAGGCCAAAAACATCACTTCTGGTGTGCGTGATGCTCTCATTCATGCTGTGTAGTGCATAAAACTTACAGCTTTTGACCTACAAGCCCTACACCAGTACCCTTTTCGAGCGACACACAAACCTATCCCGATTGATTCCGCTCCACACACACACACACACACACACACCCCTCCCGGAATGTCTACCTTCCCGAGGGCCTCGCCGCGTGGTGCATCACCACCGCCTTCGAAGCGTACACGGAAGAGTGTTTTTCCACGTCCGGATCGATGTAGTGCCGGTTCAGGTTATTACCGTACGAGTCCTGCCGGAAATGACCCGCCGCGATGCCGTCGGGGTTCAACAGCGGCACCAACTGCACAACTCAGAAGTGCGTCACAGGGCGCGAGGAGGCGCGGGACGAGGGGGAAGGGGGTACCCATTACCATGCCGTCCGCAGAGCCCTTGTTGCGATGGGTCGTTCTCACATGCTGGTCGAAGAAAGATAACGCGTCAAGAGCTGTTGGGCACCGTGGCAGGCTGAGCGCAAGTGTCGGGCCAGTAAAGAAGCAATCCCACGCCGTTTGAATCGATAGGACCGGTTGTAAGGCCTTCTCCATCTGTTTTTCATGTCCCGCTCATCGTCCAAAAAGTCTTGAACGCTACCCATGTGACCGAGGCAATGCTGATTCTGTTCAATTGATTTGAGTACCGGGGGTGAGTCGTGTATATGTAAAGCCTCGCGACCTTGAGCCACAACGGTATTGCCATCAAAAAGGAACACGATCGGGTCGGACACCAAATGCAGTTTCATCGCCCCTCGTATCGGAAAATCTCTGTTTGCTGACGGATATCAGCTCCTCAGCGTCAGCAACAATTCGGTGTCGTCCCCTCGTTGCCGCCACCGCGACCAAACTCCATACACAAGATAGCTGAACCCTTCCACACCTTGAACACGAATCTTCGCCGAAGCTCCGCGGCACGTGGGTCATTTGGTTCCAAGAGAAACCTAGAGGGAAGCGAAGGAGGGCGGGTGGGTCGGGAGAGAGGCAATAATTAGTCCAAGGTTGAAACGTGCTTTCCCCTGCCCAACTCGGCCGACGTAGCCGAACCTCGCCACCCTTTGTTCTCTTGTCTCTACCCGCTTCTCCGTCCTGCTATGTTATCGTAGGATGGCTGGAGCTCCGTCCGACCAACATGGTGTGGAGATACAAACGAGAGAAACACGTGGGAAGAAAAACCGTGCACGCGTTGCTGAATGGCGGGCGAAGCGCTTGAAGCACAACGACGGCTGGGAGTGAGTAGAGGGTAGAGCAAATGCCACCGTAGATATGCCGACGACGATGACGGTGCTGTACCGGCAAACTACTACGGGGGGGGGGGGGGGGGGGAGGGCCCCGGGTGAAAGAAACCGGGGGGGGGGGTCCAAAGGGGAACGGGC